ATGGCTGGCTGGGGGACTCTGGGAGTTGTAGTCCACGCATCTTAAAGTTGTCAAGGTTGAGAAACACTGCTCTAGGCCTACAGCTCTCAGCCAATCTATGACCTGGAGGGTTTCAAGGCACAGCTGGAGCAGTGCTGAGCCTCACTGGGGCTGAGATCTACCATGTGAGATATGCTGCCCATCAGCCCTGAATCACAAGCGCACACACCTGCAATCTGAAACTGATCCGGCATTTCTGTGCTCAGTTTCTGCATGGCAATGTCAGCAATTGGGCCCAGGATCACCACAGGACGCTTAAAAGTTGCTGCATGAGAAAAGACAAATCGTAAATCAAGTTTCTAGTCCACCAGAGATTAGAAGAAAGGCACCTGAGAACTCTCAGGATGTGTTTCTTCCCTTACTCTTAGGGTTCTGCACACTTCAAAAATGATTTAGAAGTGCTTAAAGCAGCCCAGTGTTTTCAGGCTTATGTGCAAGGCTGAAAAAAGATGCCTTTGCATTAAGGGGACTGTGCAACTTTTTAAAGCGAAGGCATTTTTTTTCCAAGCTCAGGCAGAAGCCTGAGAAAACTCAGTCTGCTTTAAAGGAGAGACACATTACGTTCATGGAAGATCCAAAGTACTTCTGAATAATTTTTGAAGCATGCATAGCCCTACATTGTCTCAAAAACTTCTTACATTTCCCTCCATGCTATCACAAAAAACACAGTGTTCTGCAAACAACACATTCTTTTGGAATTAATATGAAAAAATGTAGCAATGGCCACAAACAGCTTTCAAAAAGGATTACAGATAATCCTCAGTTAACAATGGTAATTGGGACCAGAATTTCCATCGCTAAGCGATGTGGTCATAAAGTGTGACATCACGTGACCGCATCGCTTAGTGATGGCAATCCCTGCAGTCCCTGTTGTCGTCATTAAGTGAGGATTGTGGGTCGTTAAGTAAGGACCTCCTTGCAACAACCAAAGTCAGTGGGGAAGCGAGCAGGAAGTTGCAAGTTTCAGGTGGCTTACAGGCAGGCTGGCAGGAAGGTAAGTGGGAGAGGGAGCGACAGGGTATACAGGTGGCCAGGAAGGCATGGCATGAGCACAGAAGGGCTTGGGGTGGCTGCTGCCAGGTGGGGGAGACTAACTGGAGCAACTTGTGACCTTCCCTGCCAGCTTCCTCATTGATTTTGCTTGTGGGAAGCTGGCAGGGAAGGTTGCAAATGGCGATCATGTGACTGGGATGCTGCAACCATCATAAGTGCGAGCCAGTTGCCAAATGCCCGAATTGCGATCATGTGATTGTGGGGGTGCTGGGATGGTCAGAACTTTGAGGACTGGTTGTAAGTACCACTTGTTCAGCGCCGTTGTAACATTGAATGGTCACTGAATGAGTGGTTGTTAACCGAGGGGTACCTGTAGATCAATCCACAGAACAGTACACATTAACAGTTGATAGTCTCCATGACAGAATAAAGCCTCTGCTTTCAGAAGTAGTCTACCTCTGAATGCAAAACACTGAGAGGACAAAGAGCCAATGAGAATGCTACTGTGCCATCTGCTTGGCATCTGGGTGAGCCAAGATGCTGGAATAAATTAACCTTTGTTTATATCCTGCAACAAGATTGAGGTCTGCTTCCTTAACTCCCTCAGGCCAACCCGCAGTACCTCTGCTTGCTCTTCTCTACTACCTTATTTGCTTACTATTTTTTTACAAAAGAAAAACGGGCACCATGGGGAATCACCTTTTGCAAGAAACCCAAGGAGCACCCCATAAATGGGTGCCTCGCTTGCTTCCGCACATAAGTGTAGTATCTGCTTCTAAGGAAAAGCAGCAGCGCCTTTCTCCTTCGCTACCACAAGGTCCTACCTTCCTTGAGGACAACCTTCTCGTAAGGCGGGTAGTGGCCCTGCTTGGTGAGGGTGGAAAGGTCTTCCCGGCTCTTCCGTAGTGCCCTCTTGGCTCCCCGCAAACCGCGCAGCTTCCAGAACTCCGCTCGAGCCCCCAAAACGCTGGAGGTCCTTGATGTCGCTTTGAGAACTGATTCCAGGCTGGATATCTGTTCGGCCCTGGGGTCAAAAAAGGCAGGGATCAGGAGCACGAGGGACAGAGGAAGTCACCTTATTGGCCCAACAAGAGCCGCTGGTTAAAACCAACCATGATACAGGGTGAAACCAGAGTTGCAGAAGTGACTCCTGCAGAGTGGGATACATCATAGCAGTTTTCTTAAACCTTTTGCTCTCAGGACCCCATCCCACTTTTAAAAATTATGGAGGAAGACCCCAGAAGAGCTTTGGTTTGTATGGGTTATATTTATCGATATTTACCACATTAAAAATTAAAGTGGACATATTTGTAGCATATTTATTTATTGAATCATGTAAAAATAACAATATTAAACACATTAGATATTGACATAGGATTTTTTCCATGAAAAAACCCTGTATTTTTTAAGAAATAAAAAATAATAATGAGAAGAGTGACTTTGTTCTAGATTTTTGCAAATATCTTCATCATCTGGCCAATAATTTTGATTTTGCAAACCCTAAGAGGGTCTTGGGGGGCCCCCTGGGGTCATCGGACAACACTTTAAGAAACACTGAGTTATAGCAAACCCTACACAGCAGTTATGTTACTGTGTAAGGCCCTCCTTTAAATGCCTGTTATTGCGGTATCACCTAGGGCAGCAATGGCAAACCTATGACACATGTGTCAAAGGTGACACACCATGACGTTTTGGGTGACATGATTGTATTTTTTTTAAATAAATGAATATGTAAAGAATTGTTTCTCTTTTGTTCAGGGTGGGGTGGGG